AATGTTTATACATTTAGTTATTTCTATATTTATTTATTCAATAATAACAAGAACAGTGTTCCACAGAAATCTGAACATCGGATTTATTTTATGACAATGATCCAAAAACCCAAACAACTTACTTTCTCTATACCTAAACAGTTTAGTTTGCTATATCTGTTTCAAGAATGACCACAGCGTGAATTAACATTTTTCTTTCTTTAATCAAATGTTCTTTTTTTTTTTTTTTTTTCTAATAAGCTTATTTTTCAACTTTTTTTTTCCATTTTAGAAACTTGCTAAATATCTTGTACATAATGCTAGCAAGACCTCTAACTAATCATTAAGCTTACAAGTTAAATAAATTTGTAGCATTTTCTTTTGTTCTAGATTGATTTCTTAATTTGAATCGTGAAAAGTGAAACAAGAAAACAAGAATGCCTAAGTCGTTTTATTGCTGTTTCTGAAGTACAAACTAAAAAAGAAAGATTGCTATGAACACTAAATTTGCGACTTAACGAGGCCTAACTTCATAATAAATTTGAAATACATAATATCCAGAAATATTTCACATTTACTAAAACTATGCTGGGCTAGTTGTAGATCAGAGCTTCTAAACTTCCAAATGAAAACAAAATGTCAATAACTTTTATCAATGAAGAGTTATTCAACATTTGTTTTCTCCATTTTAATCTCTCTCTCTCTACGGACGAATCCTGATTTTCGAATTACTCTAGTGAGGCCACTGTCTACTGTATAGCAATACTAATATCCATTAGAAGCTTGTTAGAACATTTTCTACATTGATCAACGTGTAAAATATCAATGCATAAGAAATAATATTAACTCATCTGACTTGTGCAACTGTTATCATAAAAGAAGCATTCCCCAGGAAATAGGCTTAGTAAATTAGACTCATAATAATTATATCATAATGTTAAGCAACTTATTTAAATTCAAAATGTTAGTTGACGAAACCACATTGGGGGACAGACCTGATATAATTTATATTGTATAAAAGGAGTACAATTTACGAATGGCTCATTAGTTTCAAGCATCAGAAGAAAATAGCTATTAGTTTTGAAACAAAATTGAGATATTTCAATTTGAATTTTTAAAAATATCTTTCCTTGCGGTTATACTAGCCATGGAATTATATGAAACTAAGTGATATCAAATTTACTCATCTCAAATTTATATTAATAATAATTAATTTAACCTTATATGTGCGACTTAAGGTCAAAGTCTTTATAATGTAGTGATAAATGTTTATCATATCCGAAAGTAGCAGTTTTTCACTTTTACTTCTTGTATCATAAAAAAAAATATGCCAACTGAAACCAATTTGTTACAATGTACAAGTTCTTTGTCAAAGTTGATCTACATTTATGAGGGTCAACTGCTATTTTTGGAGTAAACTGGTCAAATACTTAGATATTTCAGCTTAAACAGTAACCAGAATTGCCTTTATTAAATAATTTATTGAAGAAAATAATGAATGAGCGCCAAGGCCAAGGTGAGCTTCATTAAATATCGGTAGAGAGAGATTAAATAATATATACATTACACACAGCATTTAAACAATATATAGATTACATACAATAAATATACATTACATATAATAAATATACATTACATATAAT